TGACATACCAGCGTTGAACAGAATGAAATAAACAAAGAAAAAACAACGCCGTGAAGAGAATAGCGCACAGACACGTTGTTGCTCAGTTGTTAAGAAATTAACAGCTGCCTCTTTCTAAGCATTCAGAGGCTCTGAGAGAGAGAGAGCTGACGCTGGAATGAAAGAACGTCGATAGTGCTTATGCGGGAAAATACGCCAACCTATTGAGTTCTTGTTAAAGAAGCTCAGAACGAGTACTGTGAGGGACTAAAGTACAGAGGACGCGCATCGGCAGTGAGGTTATTAGTGGCCATAAGCATGCTGTTGAACACTGCTTGAACAATTAAGCGGTTGATCAGCTCTGCCAAATGTATACTACTCATTTTGAACACAAGTTCCAACAAACGCCTTTGGCAGAGAAGGTCGTTTTCGAGGAAAGCGGTAGATATCACTTCTGGAGCATATGTATAAAGCGATAATATGCATAGAAAAGTGAAAAACAGACAACGTTCAGCTGAATATTAGGGAGCCTCAAAGTTGCGCGGTCGCTTTGCGCGTCTGTCAGCATGTTCACAGTATGTTACTGCTGTCGGTACAGCATCTAAGTGCATGGAAAACAATCTTGGGGTCATGCAGGGCTCATTCCTTTCACCTGTGCTCTTCAGCTTGTACACCGATATCTATTGACAGAAAAGCCTATAACGAGCCTCAGATTCGCCGACGATCTGACTGTCATTGCGTCTATCAGAACAATGAATGATATGCATGGCTGCTGCGCTGCGGTGAACAAGGTGGGACAATCTGCTTCTGACCTTGGTATTATTCTTAGTGCTTCAGAATCAGCCAAATGTCGATTTATAACGCAGAGACCTCGCTGTGCTGCTCATCGACTACTGCACGATGTGGATGTAACATTCAAAGGCGAACTCCTGTAGCTGACAAAGGAGACAGGATATCTTCGCGCTATGGTACCTTCAGACTTAAAATGGCGTGGTCACGATTCAGTGGTTTTCAAGAAAGCTGTCCCAAACATTTAATTAGTTCCATCCTACCGCAGTATGTCGTGAATAGATTTGTGGAAGCTTGTGTGCTACCGTTGACCACCAGTGCTGGATTGGTAGTTTTTTCGGCAATGAGTAAAGCGGATTTGCTTCTCATACGCCGTGCCTTACGCGTAGTATCAAGAATTGGCCACATGGATTTCGAAATACTGATGAAGTGAGTCTTTGATCAAGTGATATCAGGCCCCGTAAAAGTTGGGATGAAGATTCTTAGTGACATCTACCGCCCGCTAAGTCAATCGATGTCAAGATGCAAATCGAAGGGAATAAATATACGAACCAAATACGTTAACATGTATGCACAAACGGAATTGTACATGTGATCGCCAGTTACATTTCTATCACGCTGTTTATTAGATCGTTATAAAGTTAAATATGAACTGTTGCATAAAATACTGATAGACCTGTTCATAGTAAGGCCAAAGCAATGAAGTTTAATGAATGAATTCGAGGCCTATCGAAATTGAGGTACATATTCGTATACGGTTCCCCGGTGAGATGTAAAGATAATATTTTTTTTCGATGATATTATGATATGAAAAGTGCAGCCACAATATAGGACGATCCATTGATTCAAATTATTTCATTTTTTAACTGTGCTACAACGGTTGCAGAGCTTCAAAGGCTATAACTGTTTGTTTGTAAGTTTGAGATAGCTTTCTACGTGCGTTTTTCTTATTGCACAGTTTCCTGTTAGGTCGCGATTTGCATATTTTCTCCACGCTGACATAACTTGTTGGTGCTGTTGCAGTAATGCAATTTTGCCTTTTAGGGTGACAAATGAACAAGAAAGTGCCTTTATATGAAGACAGCAAGTCGTTTTGGCTTGAGCGATCTGCATACGAAGATGCCGAAGTGAAATATGCGCTGTATCAATGCCAAAAGAAGGGTTTCGCCAGGAGAGTGAGTAATTTCTATCCCATTTCTCTGTGGTTCTGC